CTCCTATTATACCCGACCTGAAATTTCCCACTGATACGTCTTCGTTTTATAAGTACAAAAGTTATGACGACGATGTCCCTGATAACTGGGGGTTTAAAGATACACAAGTCGATGGGGATGTTTCTGTCCAGCTCCAACCAAGTGAAGTGCCCCAAGTAATCCGCGTTTAAAACTAACTCACTTGTTTTTATTATGTATAGTAAAATTAATAAAATGTTTACTATAGTTTAGGTTTATTGTATAAATTATAATAAAATTATAATATTATTATAATAAAAAGTCAATATTATAAAAATTGGTTATAAAGAAGTGCGTAGTTATTAATTTAAGTATTATTTATTATACTTGGAAACAGTAACAAGAAATAAGAAACAAAGTTAATCAACTTTGACAGTCACAATACCTTGGAGAATGTCATAGGCGGATTGGAGGGCGTCAAGGTTCTTCTTGAGCATTTCACGCTTTGTTGTGATAGCAGGGCTTTCGCTCATCAAGTCGTCGATTTTGTCTGATTTGTAGAGTTGTTGGATGAGTTCGTTTTGTAAATCTTTGCACGTCTGATTGACGAGGAAATGCATAATAGCCTTTGGGACAAAGTCCTCCACACTCTTTCTGACAATTTCTAGGTAACTTTTGGTGAGTTCACGCATCATTCGAATGTTACGTTGCTCTCTGATGTCAGTTGGCTCCAATTCGATTGGTTGCGGCTTAATTTCAGCAGGCGCGACCTTCTGTTCTTCGACTTCTGCTTCCTCTTCTTCTGGCTGTGGAAGGGGTTTGCTTCCCCATCCAAACCAGGAGCTTTTTGGTTGTTCTACTTTTTTTGGTTTTGGCTTTTGTGGAGCTTGAGCGATGGGCTTTGGTGGTTGCACTGGTTTGGGTGGTTGATCCTTTGGCAACGAATCGGAAGCGCCTGCTTTCAGCATAATGTCAGTTGCGTCGAAGTCTGGGTGAACAGTATTAATGTAAGACTCTTCGATAGCAATCAAGTTCTGGACGACCTCATGAGTGTTTTCAAGATTCTTCTCAAGTACTTTGTCAGACGATTGGACAATGCCGTCGCGCAATTTGGCGTATCGAATGACGGTGTCCGAAGCAACGTAGTTGAAGATTTTCGACATCTCCCGCTTGATGTTGTCAACACAGACGTGAGAAGACTCAGTGAACTTATCGATTTGTTGTTTGACTAAAGTCTCAAAAGCTGTTTGTGAAAGGAAGAGCGACAAAGTGACGCCCTCAGTGTTTCTCATAGCCGTCTTAATGTCTCTGTCGGAGATCTCGCTGATCAAGTCAAGTTGGTCGATGACTGGTCTATAGACGTTTTCAAATACATCAAAGAGCTTTGCGCCTCCAATCAGCTCGTGTTTTTCAATATCAAATTTTTCCCCACTAATGGTCTTGTTGAAATTGGTGCAATACTCGATGATCTTTTCAAGCAGCGCGACGTCTTTTTGATCAAATTCCACAGCAAACTTCGAATACTCTTGTCGTGTTTTGTTCAACATTTCTGTGATAGTGATTCTCAAAGAGGGTAACGAATTCATGATGTGTTGCATGAGCATTTGGTTGAGAGTCTTTGACAAATACGAGACTCCAAGTCTATCCGCAATTTTCCCGTAAATGGGATGATTTGTAAACCACTCCTTTTCCGATTTTAATGCTTGTCTGATTGGTACTTTTTTTTCTATGTCTTCTTGTGATCTATTCAAGACCCCGATATATCCAAGTTTGAGTGGGTAGACTCTTCCATACAAGACGTCCATCGCGTCCGTCCCTTTGTCCATCAAATCCATTTTAGTCAACACCCCAATTGTTCGATCACCTTCAGGATCCACTTCTCTTGCAATGGAAAGAGCATCTGATGTTGCTAAATCGACATTTGCAGAAGTGACTGCAAGGATAATAGCGTTCGGACTTTCAATGAACTTCAACACCATTTGTTTGAGTTGCTGACTGATGTCCTTCTCCTGCCCTTCAACTGAAATTTTGGTAAGACCAGGCAAGTCGACAAGAGTCAGATCTACTACATATGGAGAGTATATTTTAAGACGAATTGCTACAGTGGAAATGGTTTTACTCTTCCCAGTAAGTCGAATAGTCTCGTTCTCAATTTCCTTTTTGATGTCTTCAAAGTCCTTGAAGACCTCTCCGGCTTTGTGAGCAAACTCACCCCACTCAGTTGTTTCCGTTGGTGGCAAATTAACTAATTGGAGAATCAAAGGCCGTTTGGTGACCATTCCACACCCTCTTGGCAAGAAGTCTCTGCCAACTATACTTTCGAGAACGGATGATTTACCAGCAGACTGCGCACCTACCACAACTATTTGTGGAAGATCGATACCCTTCACACCAATGGTGTTGAATACGTCTTGTAATTGATTGATAACGGGAATAAGCTTATTCATAACGCTCAATTATGTTTGAAAAACAAGTTCTGAGTTTCCTATTTGAAGAAAAAATATCATCTCAAAATCTCTCTTTTATTTGTCACTCCGTTTAAGTTCTTCATCAAATTGTAATGAACAATAACATTTTATCCATAACATTATTCGATTATTATAACTTATGGTTTTTAATGGTTTTATTTATCATTGAAAAAACTAGTACTTCATTATCTTTTTTGTAAATGACGTTTTCAATTGTTGTTTTAATATAGTTTTTTTTGTTAATATTTATAATTAATTAATTTGTATTATTTTACTATCAATTCATAACAATAAATAATTAATTTAAATTGTAATTTAAATACTATTATTTAATTAAAATATATATTATAATTAAAACATAATATTTACTGAAATATAATTCAAATTAATAAAAATAATTATAATACAGTCATGCGAAAAAGCTGTCGCGTTTGGAAAAACCTGTCTTGAAAAATTATTTTATAGTAAATTTATAATTACTTACTATACAGTATAGCTTCTATTCGATTTATTTGCAGGGTCATTTCACAAAAATCGAATAAAAATATTCGGCATTTCCAAATAACATTTTCTATTTCAGATCATTTGTTTATAGTACTAGAATAGTTCATTACCAC